GAGCTGGTGGCTTCAGGTGCTCCGTGCACCCACCGGGACCCTTGCAGAAGTTTACTGTTTGCACCGTGGCTTATCCGCTGTCACACTTACAAAGTCATTTGAGATAAACTGTCATTGCTGATGTTCACTGTGCCTCCTTGTCACTTGTTGAATCTCCGGACTGGAAGTGCGCTGTGCATGCTTTGAGGCGGAGCTAAAACAAGGTCGTGAGTTGCTGGAACGGGGGCGCTGGTTCAGGGCGCGGGCGCTGGGCTGCGTCGCTGACCGAGTGCCCCTCCTCTGCAGGGCTGGTACATCGTGACCTACGCCTTGGGGATCTACCATCTCAATCTTTTCATAGCCTTTCTCTCGCCCAAAGTGGACCCTTCCTTGATGGAGGACTCAGGTATAGTAGAGGTCATCTGCTTGGTTCCGTCTCTTCGGGAGCTTTGTGATTTTGTACACTTCACAGATGCCTCATTTTCTCTAGAAACCTTTGAAATCCGAACTTTTGAGACTGTCCTCTTGCTGTTTAAAATGCACTTAGAACCTCAGTGAGGATACACTTGGGTGTAGATTGAGACATTAAACCTTAGTCGTCATGCATCATGCGGGGCGGGTATTCCTGCCGCTCTGCTGTGGATGAGGACGCGGAGGCGCCCGGGGTCCCGCGACTTGGCCAGGGTCGCGTGGGAGCGGGGGTGGCACTCCTGCCGAAGAGCCCGCCTGTTCTCGAGTCCTGTCTGTGCTCCTTGGGTAGGTCCTCTTCCTGGGCACCCAGAGGTTTCCACGGGCAGATTGCTGTGCCCAAAAGTGCCCACTGGGATCCTGACCATCCACGGTTGGGCCCCGTTGAGGGTGGTGGCGCTCCCGGATTTCCCAGGATGACCGGTTGAAAAGTTCTCGGCTTAAACTGTTCCTGGCCATACCCGGGCCGGGTAGGAGGGCCACGTCCACACCAGACTGTCCAGCCGGGGAGGGGGAGGGGGAGGGGTACAGACCTGTGGAGACTCGGTCACTCCTGCCAACACGTGTCGCCGCTGTCAGAAAAACCCAGGCACAGCTGCCTGCCCATGGATTCTCCTTGTGACGGCAGTACTTCCTGAGTACAAGCTGTCTTCTCCAGGCTGCTCCAGTCCTGACCAGAAGCCTGTGGTTTTTCTCTGTGGAGTATTCAATGAAAATGCGAAAGGAAACAACACTCCCATTTGTTGCCATTTGGGGCAATTAGAAGATGATTAGGAGAGCTTCTCTATAGGCCTCAGTTGGTGTGTGTAGCTGGGGAGGGTGCCTGCCTGTACCCAGCTCAGTGTGGGGGGCTCAGCCAGGAGGGCTCAGCATGGAGGGGGCTCAGCCAGGGGGGCTCAGGAGTGCTCAGTGTTGGGGGGGGTGCTCAGCCAGGAGGGCTTAGCATGGTGGGGGACTCAGCTGGGGGCTCAGCATTGGGGGGGGTTGCTCAGCCAAGGGGGGCTCAGCGTGGGGGGCTCAGCCAGGAGTGCTCAGTGTTGGGGTGCTCAGCCAGGAGGACTTAGCATGGTGGGGGACTCAGCTGGGAGGTTCTGTGTGGGAGGGCTCAGCACTGGGGGGGAGCTCAGCCAAGAGGGCTCAGTGTTGGGGGGTGCTCAGCCAGGAGGGCTCAGTGGGGGGGGGAATCAGTGTGGGGGGCAGCTGTTCTGAGTTGGACTCTCAGCAGATAAAGCTTTGTGTGTCTCTGCTCCTTTTCCCTAAATGTTCTCATTTTCCCTGTGTGCCTTTGTGTGCTACAGTTGATGTGTGTCTGAAAATTGGTCTGCAGTTTAATTTTATGCAGTCATTTAAAATGTGTAGTTCTTTTAAAAAAGAAATTCTATTCTGAATCTTCTAAAGCAATGAATTGATTTCTAAATCAGTTGAAGGTTTCCCGTGTTACGTTTGGTTAAATAACATAAATGTGTGTTTTATGCGTTAGGCTGCTAGTTCAGAAGCTTTGGGGGAAACTTCTAAATGTGATGGGGGCAGGTGGATGAGGCGCCCACTCCATCTCACTGACATTCTGCCTTTCAGATGATGGCCCCTCATTACCAACCAAACAGAACGAGGAGTTCCGGCCCTTTATTCGAAGGCTTCCAGAGTTTAAATTTTGGTGAGTTAATTTCTAAGGGTAGTTGAGAAAGACATTTGTCCTCAGTGTGGCTAATAAGAGTGAGAACAGAGGGTTTTTGTTTTAGTTAGCCAGCAAAGACTTCTGAAAGAAACGAGAGTTTTATTGTGTGTGTGTGTGTGTGTGTGTGTGTGTGTTTTGAACATTCAAAATGCGAGTTGCTGTCCTTGGCGGGGCGTGGAGGCAGGTCACAGGGACCCCTGTAGGAGAGCCCAGTGCCTGGTGGCCCTTTGGAACTAGCCAAAGAGAAGCTGCTTCTGGGGCGGAGGGTCCGGGGTATGTTCGGATGTGGGCCTTGGGAGGGATGCGTGTCCAGGCTCTGGCTGCCCTGCACAGACCGGCCAGCCTATGTGCTGCCCCTCGCACCGCACCCCTTCTAGTTGCTGGCATGAGTGGACCACCTCCCTCGCCCTCCTGCTCGGGGTGTCTTTACAGAGGCAGGGCTCGTGTAGCCTTGGGGCAGTCTGCTTTCACTGGAAGTGCTGTGCTCTGGGGTGGGGCTTGGATGGGACTTGACTTGTCCCCCAGGCCTCCTGGAGGCAGTGACATTTGTGTGATGTTGCACGAGGATGCACGTGACAGGTGGACAGGTGAGCCCTGCTCTCATGCGTGAAGCATGCATGAAGGGGACCCCCACCACATGAAGGCTGTGACCTCGTCTGTCCTCTATTTGTTGGAGCAAAAACCCGAAGGGAAAAGCTGCCACACCTTTACTTTGTGCTCTTGGCGCTGTGTGTGGGATGTGGCAGGCACTCTGCAAGTCTGCCGGCTGTGCAGGAAGGGCTGGAGTGAGGGCACTGCTGGGGAGGGAGCAGAAGGCAGGCAAGACCGCCCTGCAAGTCCCCCAGGGAAGTTGGCCTTTGTCCTGTAGGAAAGGGGAGTGCTGAGTAGCATTTTCAGTAGCGCCAGGAGTCCGGCTGGTGGGCTGGGCCCTGAGCTGGAGGGAGCCGCCTGGGTGCTGCCAGGATCTCAGCGATGCACAGCCCAGGGGAGGGGCCTGCCAGGTGTATGGGGCGTATTCCAGGTGGCAGACGAGAGACGCCCAAGTTGGCCTGAGCAGTTGCACCTCTTTGCTGAATGTTTCATACTCTAATTTTGGAAGGAAACTGGGGCCTTTAAAGGGACCGAGGGAATGCTGTGTTTGTAGTTACATGCGGTGCACTCTGTAGGAAACACACACCACGCCCCTACTGCCCCAAGTAGGGATACTGCCGTGGCCCCAGGTGGCGGGGCAGCTGGTGGCACTAACCTCCTCCCCTCCTTTAAGGCATGCGGCGACCAAGGGCATCCTCGTGGCCATGGCCTGCACCTTCTTTGAGGCTTTCAATGTCCCCGTGTTCTGGCCCATCCTGGTGATGTACTTCATCATGCTTTTCTGTATCACCATGAAGAGGCAAATAAAGGTGAGCGCGGGTGGGCACCGCTGCCCTGGGAGGCGCTGAGAGCCCCGCTTGGGTCTTGTTTCTTGGAGCGTCCTGAAGCTCTGTGCAACAGGGACACGGCGCAGCCCCTTTCCGCAGACACTTATCTGTCCAACGGTGCAGCTGTCGAGCACACACACCGCTCCCTGGGGGCCTGGTGGGAGAGCCCTCGGTTCTCCCATGCTGTCCTCACTGGCATGGCCTGGGGGCTCAGAGCCCAGGGCCCACCGGCCAGTCAGTGTGTTACGCCAACATTACCCTCAAACAGCCCCCAGGGCAGCTTTATCCCCACTCCCCTGGGTGTATCATAGGGCTGCCCAGCCCAGCCCTAGCCCTTCCTGCATGCAGGGGGTCAGGAAATCTTTCCCAGACCCTCGGGATTTCCAGCGAGCTCGGCCAGCTCAGTGGGCTCCGGAGGGGCTGTGTCACTGGTGGGGAGGGGACTAGAAGCCTATTGGAGCCCTGGTTTCCTTGCTGTGTGTGTAGAGAAGATCAGGATTCAGATTTGGAGAAAACAGTTCATCGTGAAGCCACTCTAAAGTGAGTCTGTTTGTCCCCAGCACATGATAAAGTACCGGTACATCCCGTTCACGCACGGCAAGAGGACGTACAAGGGGAAGGAGGACGCAGGCAAGACGTTTGCGAGCTAGGTGCTCGGCCGGACCCACCGGAGCCGGAGGGCGGCTCTGAGCCGCTGTAACAATGCCTTCTCCCTTCACATAAAGTAGCTGATTTCGAGGGAGTCGAATTTTCTTTTTAAAAAGGAGCTTCAATTATTTGTAACTGAAATATCAGGTTCTTGAAGAAACTGACATTTAAACCAAATTGCATTGATTTATTTTTCAGTGACATTCAAGTGTTCACATGGACAGAAATTCTCGTAAACTGCTGCCTGGGTGGACAATCGGGTGGGGGCGTGGGGAGGGGCGGGCGAGTTCTGTTGCTGGGCGGCCGTGGAACAGAGCTACACGGACGGAGCCGGGTTGTGCCCCAGCTGCCCCCATCCTGGACGCCCGTGGCCACGTCGCCCGGCTGGAGGATGATGCTAACCTGATTCCTGCGCTTTGGAAGAACATGTGAAAGGTGATTTCCAAGTAACTCGGGGGTTCTAATGCGAGTTTCCCACTTTCATCTCACCAGAGATGTTTAAAGTTGGTCTCTTATCATAATGACTCAAAACTTTGTTCTCAATTACCATGATTGCTTTTGAGGGCCTGGAATTATAAATATATATATTATATTTTAATTGTTTGGAATTATTTTGACACATTTCTTTGATACCTGAAGAGTTGTTTCTGATTAATTTGAAGTTCTCATGCAGTGGCCCCTTTACAGAAACAGTGGGCAAGGGCAGACCAGTTTGTGGGTTTTAACACACGGCTTCTCACTTTCTACGGGAAAACAGAACTCTGACCCGCATGTCAACTTTTTTGATGTGATAAAAACAAATACTCGTAACATTTTACTAAGTGACTTTTTAATTCCAACTTTATTAAAGACAGTGTCCCCTTTCTTGTGGAGTCTTTATCTGAAACACGACAGCTCACTGCCTGTGAGCAAGCACTGAGCTGGGCCGGTCACTGGGGCACAGGTGCTGAGGGGCAGGCCCATGGGTGTCTTCCTGGTCTCAGGAACTGCAAACTTGTACCTCTTCCCAGTGTCCCATCTGTCTTAGGGTTTTAGGCACTGAATGTGCTTATTGTCTGGCTTTTTTGGGCCAATTTTTGCAGATATCTGAAATTGAGCAGCTCTTGCTTTTAAGAGGCCATACGAAGACCTTTTACATACCTGATCCTGTATTTTAATCTCGGTACTTAAATGGTATTCTGGATCAGTATCTTTGATACAACATTGTGGCGTGTGAGATGTTGAAACTCTGGACACTTTTTTCATACCGTTTTCCTGGTAAATGCTCAGGCCTAAAATGTGATGGGAGACGGTCTGCGCTTGGTCAGGGCGTACATAAAGGGCCTCAGGAAGCGTGGGGCCCCTCTCGGGGCTCCTCCTCAGTCTGGCCTGTGGTCACGGTGACCTGTCTCAGTTGGCCGGCCTGTAGTAACCGAGGAGTGTGGAGCGATGCGTTCCTGGACGGCTATGTCCGCTCAGATCCTGGAATGGTCTGCATAGGCCTCTGCCAGAAGCCTGGGCCACAGCCTCGCACAGGGGGCCGGACATCCTGACCACAGGTTCTTGCCCTGTATGAAATGTGATCTTCAGTTCACCCTGACAGCCTTCTTAATACACCTACGCTCCTGTGGAGTTCGTTTCTTAAGAGAGCTTATGGCAAAGTCCAGTCTCCGGCACAAGTTAAATACTTTTAAAGACCTGAAAGTGACAAAAAGGTGGCAGGAAGTAGGCTGGACAAGGGGTGACCTGGTGTGAGCAGCCGGCCTGCCCAAGCCTCAGGGAGAGCTGAGCTCTGAGAGGCAGCTATGGGTTAGGTGCAGGCTGGCTCTGCACCGCGGAGCTCTGAGCAGACCCCAGCCAAGATGCGGATTCTGTGTTCTAAAATGGGAAACAAACTGGAACATGTATTAAAAGGTATGAGCCACACATCTCAGGTGGAGATACACCTCCTCGGAGTCTTTGTACTCCTGTGAATGGACGTGGCCGAGCCACCAGAAGCCTGCCTCTGAGGGCAAGGTTTCCAGGTCGTCGGGGTAGGCGGATTGGCCAGTGGGTAAGCCCTGCTGTCCGCTGCTCTCCACACTTGCCCATTCAGGCCAAACCCCAACTGTGCCTGATACAGACTCATTTTCTCATCACATGAATGGCTGGTCCCATTTCTGAAGCTAACTTTCACCTGTATGGTTTGGGGAAGGGATGAAAGCAACCTGGTCCAACAGAATCCAGCTCCTGAAGAAGTGACCCAGATGCACCACAGTGGGGGTGCGGCTCAGCCCCCCGGCAGGCTCGGCCCCAGCTGCTGCTTGCCGTCTGCGCGTGGGCCCACACTCAGCCCAGAGGCCTCGGACCTGCCATCCTGCAGGTAGATCCGGCCTCTCCCCCTGAGCTGCTGGCGTAGTTTATGTGACAGGAAATAAAATCTCAGAATTTAATGATTTCTATGCAAGCAAAGTTAACTTTGAGAATAGACTGAGTTTCTCTCCTGATACCAAGAAAGAGTCCTGGGGTCCTCTGTCCTCGGTCAGGTTAGCGATAGTGCCGCAGGTAGACAAGCTTCTGGGGAGGGAACTTCTCCCTGCAGAGAGGGCACTCCGTCTGCAAGGGGGAGGAGGGCCATGTAGGCTGTGGCCAGCACAACCCCCACCACAGGCCCTCCCACACTGGCATCTGCAATAACCCATGGGACGTGCACACGTGTCTATTAACTTTAAATGAAGACCATTTCCAAAAAGCACTTTTTTCAGAAGTCACAAACCTGAAGGGAAGGCCTTAACCCTGGGGTGGTGGGGGAGTGGAGCCGGGAGCAGTGGCCAGGCCAGGGAGGCAGCTCGTCTTGTCTGTGCAGTGATGGGGCTGGCAACGGGTGCTCCCGGCCACTACGCTGGGTTGTGTTGAGAGGAGCACATGGGGCCCCGCCCCTAAGGGCCGGTCGGATTCTCTCTAGTCCCCAGTAAGGTCTGCTGGTCTTGCACTAGGTGTTCCTGCCTGGGGCCAGCTGCTTACAGGAGGCGGCACCTGTGTTCTTGAGGGAATCCCTCAAAATGGGGAGCAGGGGCCCCAAAGTGGAGGCTGTGTGACAATCCAGTGGGACCCACATGGTGCACACATTTCACAGATGCTGATTCTAAGTCAGCTGCAGCCAGGCTCTGAGGCCACGGCCACTGTGGACCCCGGACACAGGCTCTGAGGAATGCCCCTTGACCAACCGCTGGAGGTGAATGTCCTCAAGTTAGAGGACGGGGCGTTTAAACCGTGAGGCCCACATCCCGCCCCTTGTTTACCTACCTCACCTGTGCGGCCCTCCCCACCGTCAGCCCTGAGAAGGCTGGATTTGGGCTGAGTCTGGGTGGCAGGGCTGGTGGGGGCCCAGGAACCCCACCCCTCCCTGGAGTCAGTGTGGAGGTCACGGTCTCCACCCCGAGGTCTCAAAAGGCTGGAGTAGGTGGCTCTGCATCCTGAGGGCTCCCATGTGGGTGGTCACAGCGGGGCATCTGTCTAGCTGGAGAGGGCCGTGTGTGTGTGCAGGCGAGCCAGGCTTCCAAGCAGCGGCAGGGTCGGGGGAAGACTCTAGGAATGGAACCTGAGGGCCAGGCTGCTGTCCCCACCTCCAAGCAAGGCCTCTGGATGCACACCTGTAGCACCCTGACTCCAGCTATGTCCCGTAAGCAGTTCATCTGGGAGCTTTAGAAGGAGGCCCACCTTCCCATCCCCTCCTAGGACGTGTCTGGGACAGGCTTCTTGATTCCTGGGCGGCCGCCTGGGCCGGCCTGTGCACCTGCTCATGAAGCCTGTGCTCCCGAATCACAGCTGCTGACCCTGGGCGCACCCACCTTGGTGTCGCACCACTGGGTGATGCACTCCCAGCAGAAGAGGTGGCCGCAGGGCGTGGCTGTGGAGTGTCTGCGTTCCTCCAGGCACAGGGTACACATGGAATTTCTAGAAACAGCTTTCTCTTCCATGTGGCTCCTGGTGGTGGGGCAGGGAGACCCCAAAATTTACCTCAAGAGTCCTGGCAATGCCTGCTCAGCCCCCACCCTTGCTCCCACCCCCTGGGCTGGAGCAGCTGAGCTAGGGCCCACACCCTCCCGCCATCCCCACACCTGTGCTGAGACAGGCCGCGGTGCAGCTTCCACTCCCGCCGGGCGCGTTGCCGCTGCCGGAAGCCGTGCAGCTGCAGGCCCACGGACAGCGCCAGGTGTAGCAGGGACGCGAGCCCCAGCAGCCTGTAGCTGTCTCGAGCCCTCAGGTCCTCTGTAGCCGGGCAGCGCACGCGAAGCTGTCAAGGACCCCAAGGGACAGTCACACGATCGGCTGGCACAACGCACTGAGCAGCCTGGGTGCCAGGCCTCCCCCTGGCGGTAGAGTGCAACGCCAAAACCTGCCCTCCTGGCACAAGGTGGGGGGGCAGAGAGTGATCATGGGGCCTCCTTGCTGAGTGAGGAGGGCAGAAGCACCCTGTAAGTTCTGGGCACCAGGTGGGGGCCACTGCTGGACAGCTCGGGGCCTCACTTCCGAGGGGAATGAGTGAGGGCAAGGAAGACTGCCCAGACTCCCAGTCTGTAGTCCCTCTGGCTGCAGGCGAGGATTTGAGGGGTGGGGGGGTACATCGGGGGACTCACATCTGAGAGAGAAAAGGTACCGGCAAAGAATCTGGAGAAAAACAGCCCAGGGGGTGGGGGGCAGGAGGAAAAGCCCTCCAGGCAGATACCGTTAACCAGCTTCTCTATCACATGAACAGAGACGCTCCTGGGTTTTAGCGGGACGCCTGGCTCCCCCTGTGACACAAGACCACACAGATGACACCGTAGCTAGCGATGTGCCTGACTTCCAGGGAAAGTCAGCTGTTCTCCATTCTGGTCTCCCTCCCCTTGGCTAGGAGCCCCCCAACCAGGCCCCATGTGCCTGTGCAGAGAAGGCCGCCGGAGAGCAAAAGCCCTCTGTGTGGGTTGAGGCTGTTTTTCCGGCCCTTTGCTACAGCAGCTCAGCACACACCCTAGCTGACGCCGGGGCCGTCAGCTCTCATGAGTGTGCACACTGAGGGCTGAGGCTGGAGAGGGGAGAGGCAGGTGCTCAGGACAGTGCTGCCAAGTGAGGCGAGAAAGTGGGTAACCCTCTGGTGATCAGGGGCCTGAGTTGAGACTTTTTGGGTGAATCCGGAAGCAAAGGCACCAGGTGAGAAACAGGATGAAAAGTGGGACTGCTTGGCAGGCTCAGACCAGGGAACGTCCTCGCAGTAACGGGAGACAGCGCTACACCTGACCCTCTGGCAGGGCAGCTGGGAAGGAGCTGGCGTGGGGCCCAGGGGCCTGGAGCCTTGGGCAGGTTCTCAGAGTAAACAGCAGGGGGGCGTGCAAGTGCTGGCTGCAGGGAGGCAGGCGTGCCTTACCCTCAAGGTTGACTTTCTAGGGTCTTTTAGCAAATGCGATGCGATAAAACCCATGTTTTCTTGGCTCCAACCCTGTGACCCTGCTAGCTGCCAGAAGCTGAACACACAGCAGCCAGAATCGAGCGAGTCGGGACGGCACCAGTGACTTACGTAAGTGACTCCTGTGAGCCTCTTGGCCAAGTGGTAGAAGGCGCCGTGGATGTAGAACCAGGCAACGTGGAGCCGCTGGAGGTAGCCGAGGCCCTGCCTGAGCACCAAAACAGCCCGCAGGAGCGTCCTCTTCTGCTGCTCTGTCAGGGCAGCCACGTGCTGGCGCACCCAGTGCCTCGATCCTGACCGGCCACGCCCACCCAGCGCGAGGCTGCCCTGCGAGGGCCTGGCGCCATTGGCATCAGCCTGCAGCTCGAGCTCCAGGTGCAGCAGGGCCTTGTCCAGAAGGTAGGGCAGGATGGTGTGCAGCACCACCAGCACACCACGGCGCAGCCTTGAGGGCACTCTGCTCCGGGATGAGTCCACCTGGATGACACCAACATACTCCTCCCCGAGGGTCTGGTAGCCTGCCGGGTGAGGGCGTGGGGGTGACCCACACGAGAAACTGAGGCAGGGGCCTGCTATCCTTTTCTTTCTCCTCATACTGGATTTTGCTTTCAGGTCCCTGCCTTTCCTCTGAAGAATGACGCTCCCCTGGGGCCCCGCTGACCTTGCCCTGTGACAGGGCTTAGTGCTGGGACCCCCGCTGAACCACAGAACTCACCCACAGAGAAACAGTTCCAATGGCACTCTGGGCAAAGTTGAGGACAAAGGTTCCCAGGAACACAAAAAAGGGAAGAGAGGAGGGCACAGATGTGACCCTCGGAGTTTCAGAGGTTCCAGCTGGGGCTCAGGGCCTGGCCTCTCCTCCTCCTGCCCCGAGACTGCGTCTGGGCCAGCTCCAGGGACACGGGGAAGCACCTCCAGGAGTCTCACTCTGCTGGCAGCACCCCCACCCCCAGGCTTGGTGTGTTGTGGGCTCCCTGGTCTCAAGGTCCCACCAGGACTGCTACCTGCAAACGTGGTGAGGCCAAAGTAGGCCACATCCGACAGCAGCTCGACCTCTCTCCTGCACTCCAGCCACCTCTTTGCACCTGAGAGAAGAGGGGGCAGGGGGCGCGGGGGTAAGGGTCCAATCCTTCCTTGGTTCCTCCTGCTGCCAAGGTCCAGCCACCCCTCCACCAGGCTGAGACCGTCCTAAAGCACACTCTTCTCTCGGTCCTGGCCTCCGCGCTGCTCCATGTCTCCCGCCTTGTCTGACAGTCTCCGGAGAACCTCCCCACCTGCAGCCATGGCCCCCTTCAGGGCCCGTCAGGGTACCTAGACCCCGGAAGGGCCACAAGGGCAGGGAGGGTAGGACGGTGACTAAGTACTCAAGCCGAGACTGCCGTCCGGCTTCAAACCCACCCCGCAGAGCTGGTTGTGACCTCAGGCAAGTTAAATGCGTCTACGGAACCCCGAGCTCCCTCCGTAAAACGAGGTACACCGACGGAGTCCTTCCTGGGAACGACGTTTTGAGAATTAAACAGGCAGTGTTTGTGAAGCACCGAGGCCGTTACTTGGTACAGAAGAAGTCGAGGTGTAACGTAACCACAAGCCGTTTCTCCCGCTCGCACCTCCGCGCTGCTCAGCGCCCCCAGCCCCGCGGTCCCCGCCCGCTGCCCGGACGCACGCTGGGGTCCCCTCTCCCCCGCTGCAGGCCCGGGCTCACCCGCCAAGCTGTGCAGGGCGCCGCCCGCCGCGCTCCGCAGCCCGCCGCGGTAGTAGTCGTCCTTCTGTGCCGCGCGAACCACCTCCGCCGGGCCGGCGGCTGCGGGAGCCATGTCTGCGGCGCGCTGGGGCCGGGGACCCAGCTGGCCACGCCCACGCAGGCGGCGCCTGATGACGCCAGCGCACGGCTCAGACCTTGTGCGTCCTCCGCGGGGGCGGGGCTGACGGGTGCCCACGCGGGGCGGAGCTGTGCAGGCGCTGAGGGGGCGACGTGAACGCGGGCGGGGGCCGGGGCCGGAGCCGAGGGTGGGGCCGAGAGGGGCGGGGTCCGGGGGCGGGGTCCGGGGGCGGGGCCGAGAGGGGC